CGAATCACCACGATCGGCATCTCGTTCTTCGGATGCTCCCACTCCCCACTCGCAACAAGAGGGCGCAAGAGCGAGCGGATCTCTCGCCTATAAATTTTTTAACGTGGCGGTGATGAAGCTCCCTGTCCAGCTCGCGACAATAGAGGGTGTCCATCACGCCATCTACGCCGACGACAATACCATATGGACCACCTCTGGCTCTAACGGCAAAATACAGGAGGCCTTGCAGCGCGCTATCAACGTTGTCCAGCGGTGTGAGCGCGGCGGCGGTCTCCAGTGCGCACCTGAAAAGTCAGGACTCCTCGTCGTGAAGAGGAAATGCCGGAACATCCCTTATGACCCTCCACAGATCATTCTCACTTTCGAGAATCACGTCATCCCGCGAGTGCTGTGTGTTCGGATCCCCGGCAACTTTCTTCAACAAGACGGCAAGTAATCACAAACGCATCAGCGTCTCACGCATGCAACTAATCAAATTCTCCGTATGATGTTAAAGCCTTCAGAAAGACAACACAGCCTGAATGAGGAAGAAGCTTCCCGCCCGTTTAGGAACTGATCATTAGCCGGGTGGTCTACTTTGTCCGATATTTTACACTCAAATCTTGCGAATGAATTTTTTATATCGCACTACCGGGCTAACTTTACATGAAACCACCATCTACGGACCAACCAGAGAAATGGTTGGTTCGTCGAAATCGCGTATACTGTGATCTTTAATCACTTCACTACAATATTCCAAGATTCTTAAATAACAGGCATCTTCATTGTAACAATGTTATCACTCTTCCTAAAATGAAACTTTGCACACACTTTGCTTAAAGCCATAATTTTTTTTCCAAATTCACAAGTTGGTTTGACGGTGTGGTAAATTGTGTAGCGTGCAAATTGTACTAATTTGTAATATCATACTTTACGCACTGTATTATGATTATTTCGTGAAGCTGCTGCTATCCTTTTTGACCCGAGACCCCGTCAAGCTACTTATAGCAGCTTTTTGTCTAGAGGTTCCTCCAGTGTATACCTGAAAAAATAAAGCTTGAATTTAATTGAACTCGAAGCCCTCATGCAATGGGCCTACAACAAACCTCAGGTCTTCTATCCAGCAGAGCACGTTAAGACACACCTAATAAGTCAGCGCGAAAGACTAAAGCTGACACCCGCAGGCAGCATGCTCTAACTCGCCTGGGCTATCCGACCCAAACCTCAGGTCACGCTATAACGTTCCCTTTTAATATCACATATCACACCAAAATATACGTCGCCCCAATACCTAAACATATGCACCCGAAGTTTCATCAGGGGAGACGTCAGGCTCGCGCCCATGCCCTCCAAAGTAAATTTTAAAACGCCAGAAAACGTCGGACACGCTCGCTCCGCTTGGTACCGGGTCGCCTGGCTATTAGCATGATCGGAGAGGACATGCAGGAAATAAACTTCGCGTCCATTCCAACTCCTAGCCAATTTCTGGCAGAGAAAGCAGTGGTAGCGCTCGATATCAAGTCCACCTCAACAATCATATCCCTAACAACAATTATCGAGCCACAGGCGGCCAGCCCTAGTTTTGACAAAGGCCGTCTTTCCAACTTTGACTGCTCTCCACTTAGCCTTCACGATCAACCCTTCACTGTACCCCTGATCTTGACGCCAGACCACGATTCCTTCAGTGGGAATGAACTCGCAGACGCGTCAGCCTGATCTTTAACAATCGAGGCTCCGCCGCCACAGGAAGACTCGTCCCAAATCACCATGACCTACTATGTTACACTTCAGAATTTCCGCTTCATTCGCCGCACCGTCACCCGCCCCAAGAAACCCTAAAGAAAAGATGCTGTAGGGTGGCGCTTGTTGCAGACAAATACCTCCCCACCTAAGGTATTTACATGTCATATGCGCTGCTGTCTACCCTACAACACATGCCGTTTGTGCACCGCAAAGCTATACTCTACTACGTCACTTGGGCACGCCCTAGGATCCGGGCTGCTCCGCTCATCTGAAACCCAACACCCCAGCAGTGAGAAGCTGCACTGTCCAGCTCGGACCCGAATGATAAGCGTGAGCTGGTGTAACCTAGTTGAAACGCAGAAAATGCTACAGAATACCTGCACTGAGGGCTCCTCTCGCTTTGGAAGAAAACGAGTAGCCTGCTTCTTCAATTAAACTTATTTTTCTCTCTCTCGCTCTCCTTCTTTCTCGGATCTTTTTTATGATCTACCGTACGTGAGTGGAGACATGAGGCGTGAAGGAATATTGAACTGTTCGTGGCTGTTCTGTTATTGTAAATGTTATGAAAGAACTTTATACTTTAGCCTAACCTATGACATTTCAAAGATTTCATTAAGGTACTCGAGCTTACGGAGAAATTGTAGTTGCCAGGAACATATCTTGCCGCTCTGTTTTGACGCTTTCGAGGTCAATCAATCAATCAATCAATCAATCAATTTTATTTACATCATCATCAAATAGTGATGTGGGCTGCAGTGGCAAAAAGTCAAAACAGTTTTGACTTGACAAGGCCTCTGCAGCCTTACAATTGGCATACGGTAACAAACAACAGCAACCGGGGAAAACAAGCAGACAGCAACATGGGAAAAAAAAATCACCGAAAAAATACTGTTGTAGGGGATCTCTAATTGTTGCGCTCAATTGTGCTACCTCAGCTCAATTCGAACGGAAACCAGGGGTGCTACAAATGCTTTTTGAAACAATTCGCGGAAATTGTGCGCCATAGCATCAGCTGTGGAATGTGTCCCAATGAAGGTGACGTCTCATGAGAATGCAGTTTTTTCCACTACTTGAGAGCACTGTACTGTTTTTCTTAGCCCCTACCTACTTTATTGTTTCGTGTATTTCAAGTCCTTTCCCCGAAAGGCAATTTATTTGATAGGAAGGCTGCAACCAGACGTGACCGGAATTATGAACACTTAGCGCTGGAGGCCATCATCGTGGAAACGAGATTGACCGTTTACCTTTGCAGAACTGTAATTTGGAGGGAATAGCCCTTGCTTCCTGATATTCATGATAACATCATCAAGAGGGATATCCTGGAGGTAAAGTGCCCAGAAGTGCATCAGCGATGTATGTCACCAACAAGAGGTATGGTGTGAACTGCAATGGGAAAACCTGTTAACCGAAAACAAAATACATGAATGGCCTTTACAGCCAAATGTATTATGTATTGCTCCGCACACAGTTGCAGGTTTTTTCTTTGTCTGGTCTACGAGCAGCAAAGTGTTTCTGGAGATATTTTTCGATTTCAACAACCTTTATGAAAGTGCACAGTGACTAATGCGGTTTTATTTTACTTCCATTCTGTCACATCCTGAGAAAATGCTTAGGGGTGAAAAACTAGATATTTGTATTGAATACAAGCAACTGCCCCGTATGTAATGAAACTATTTTCAAGTATAGCCGATAACGAAAGAATGAAGAAATAATGCAGCAGCTGGAATAGTGACAATGCCGCATGCAACACTCTTGCGAGTGTCATTTGTTCGACATGTTTTGCAATTGTCAATAAGATGCGAAACATATGCCATTTGTCCTTCGCATTCCTTAATTTATTTAATATGTAGATATCCCAAACAGTAAAGCAGAATATACAAATCAGTAGCTGGCAAGTGTTTGAGCAAGACAAGACTCTGTTCAACTCAGAGAAATCTAGAAATATACTGCATATAAATTCAACTTCTAAAATTGTTTCGCGACCGGACACAAGGTTTCAATTTATACTTGGAAGCCTCACCAAAACTACTGTACATTACAAAATGATTCTGAGGTGAAAAAAAGGTGTTTTATTTATTATCCATAATATTTTTTGAAGAACCACTGCACATATCACAACGCAAGAGGTGAAATTATTGATTTGAGTGAAATCGGGCAGGTGATAAACTTACATTTTGTCTATACCGCGTTTGTAATCCGAGAGTTATCCTTTGGACCAACTAGGAATACTAGTAGTTTCGATGGTAGCTCAAGTCATGGCTTAAAAAAACCTGACAAGGAAAAAAAATACTGTTTTTTTTTTGTAAACAGTTTGGTTGGAACACGCGTGCTTCAAAAACATTTTTACGCGAAAAAAATAATTTTTGATCAATATTGACAAGAGATTTATTTGAAATTTAGCGCACGAAGTCCATAACGTCACGGGAAATTACGGAATGACCATCTCGGTCGTGAAGGCGAAGTCGAACCACCTCTCCTCCACACGCCCGAATTGCCGAGTGAAAAAACAAGTGGAAAGGAGGTGACTGCCAACAAAATCGTGTCTCGCTCCGTCGCTATTGCTCTTTTTTTCTTTTTTTTCGAGTAAAATTAATTTCTTGACACGCGTCTCCCAACCAGACTGTCTAAAATGAAACTTTTTTTTCTTTTCAGGGGCCCTTTAATGAAGAGATGCTTGACCGAGTTTTACGCAACGCGTTATTCAAAGTGCCGGAGCAACAAACTAAACGTTGCAACAATCTGCAGCGTATTACTTTTATTTCGTTTATATCAGCATAAGATACACAAGACACCTCGATTTCTTCTGAAATACCGCGATTCCATTGGACCTGGCGAACCAAAATCCTCATTATTTCCCTACTTGCAGCCGGGTGTGGCGGCCATGGGAACCACAGCGCTACGTCGTCAAAAGTTACATCGCAGTGATTGAGCAACTTGTGCGTTTGAGGCACCATCTACTAGAAGTTAACAGAACCATGCCCTTTCCGATGCCAAAGTGGCAAACCAGCAAAAACACGTGGAAACACTTCTGTTTTTATCCGAGATGCGCTACCTACCACGTACATCTGTGACGCCGGCTGGTTGTTGTGCTCAGAGGTGATCAAACCGTAGCTTGAAAACTGTTCTCATTTGAGGCGAGAACTTCCGCTACATCGGAGAACGAAGGCAGTTCACGAGCACGTCCAAGAACACCACCGGAAGCTCTACATCACCTGTGGTGAAGCCACTGCGTACGTAACACCGGAAGTTGTTTTTCCTTTCTTCTTTCAAGGCGGTCGTCAGCGGTAGTTCCCGTAACCGTCGTAGCCGTGTCCGTAATGACCGTATCCCTGATGTCCGTAGCCCTGATGTCCGTAGCCCTGATGTTCGTAGCCTTGGCCGTATCCATGATGTCCGTGACCATGCCCGTATCCACGATGTCCGGAGCCATGCCCGTGTCCCTGATGTCCGTAGCCGATACCGCCTCCATAGTGGCCGTGAGCGACTCTCGAGGAACCTTGTAGCGAGCGAGAGTGGTGGCTGGAACTCTTGCTGTGGTAGTGAACCCTGTGTCGGATTCAGCAAGAGACGTTGGAACAACAGATGGGCGAATCGTGGTTGTCAAAACGAACAGTTTTTCAATAAATGCAGAGCACATCTACGTCGTTTTCACTGACGGTACATCAGGTGCCATTCTGGAGGCTTTGCTCCTGACCGGATTCCTTTGGCATTATGCGCTGTCAAAAAAAAGGTTGTAGTCTTACGTCCTTTTGTCCCATAGAATACACCCCAAAACTTCAGTTCAACGTAGAGCGCACTGATGTCGAACAGGCGGACACAGCATTTACAAGGGGCTTGTTAATGGTACGATAAAACTTATTACACAGTTAAAGTAAGTATCAAAGACTACATAAAAAAAACACTGAGGTTTTGCAGTAAAGCCAAGAAAACACGTATTATTTTTCTTTTATTCAGTAACACGTACTTTAGCTATTTGAACAAGCTCTACCATTCGGCTATCAAGCCGCTTGTGAAATTTGGTACTGTCGGGTCAACCGAAACTTCGTTCAACTGGGGTATCTTATTTGGGACAAAGTGGTGTAAGAATATCTTTTTCCCTGAGAGTGTAAATTGCGTAATGTATGACACCAGATAACCGGTCTTTAAATATTTTAAACTGCTGCACACTCTCCGTCTGACTTACAGAGCCGCCGCCTTATCGTGACTTCAAAGGCGTGAATCGGCGCACACATCCCAGACCCGTTGTCGCATCAAGAACAAAAAAATGTGCGCATTATTCATGCGCTAGCGAAGTAGTTATTCAGTTATTAGAAGATGTGGTTGTCGAAGAAAGAAACGATGCTTTTGGCGTTTGAAACGTGTACTATACATCTCGATAAAACATACTAAAGCTAATTTAAGATGCAACTACGTGTATTTTAATTCAACACATTAAGGGGGCAACCACTAACATTCCGCGAGGAGCCGTACTTTTCTTACTACAGTTCTTCAGGTGGAGTATAGAAAGCAATGGCACAGTAGCATAGTACTGGGTCAGCTACGTCATCATCCGGAGGCCAACATGGTGCACAGTTTGGACTCTTTCAGAAGTCGGATTAAACTCGTGCGATTGAACGCGAGTCCCAGTCGAACGCGGAACTCCCTTCCAAACTCCCCCTGGCCTCTGGTACGTGACGAGGAAAAGTCATCAATATGACCTTGATGCACACACTGCGGTTTTGCATGCACACACGCGGGTCAGGTCCAGAGCCTGTAGTACGGCGTAGGAAGCCGAAAGCCGGCTTTTCTAAAAACACTTAAAGAAACTGTCGTGTTTGCGTGTAGACAACGGCAAGTCAGCCCCAATGACCTGACTTCACACCCGTCAATGCCCCTTTTGGCTTAGGGTGTTTGACGTCCATCACGCAATGAGGTACAAAGACGCAGGCCTGTACGATGCAGATCGAGATCGTGGGCGAGCGAGCACTCAAGGCACGCGGCTACAAGCTAATCAGCTTTTGCTCGCGTGCCTGATGCGCAAAGCACACTAATTCCAAAGTTGAAGGCAACTTCCTTGACTTGATAGAAATGCCTCGCCCATGAGACCTTTTGTAGTGTATACTGGTCGCTTTGACTAGCGTTGTATTTGCGTCTTCTTATTGAGCGGTGACTCAGAACTTCAATAAAAGTCGTACAAAAATTCCTTGGTACGCTTATTCTACTGTACGGCCAGCGTTTCTACCATGAACCACCGTTTAGGTTTCCCATTTCAAGTTAACCTGTGCTGGTAGGGTTAGCCATGTCATCATTTGGCATTTTACACCTACCAGCACACTCTCATTTGCAAGTATACAAAACCCTTAGTTTGTCTTTTTCATAAAATCTTCATCAAAAGACTGAACTGTGTTATAAATTATTAAATCATTCTACATCTCTTCTGGCATTAATCATAGCCATAAGGTGTCTGCTGTTAATTTAAAATTGCAGTTTCTTCAGTGCGTTCTATACCTAAAACGTCGAAAGATTCAAGCCCCTCGCTATTCAATACTAACGTCACCGATATTGTTAAGCTTAAAATATTGTTACTAATTTGCGCATTTTCTAATGGTTTCTTTGCCTGTAAAAAGGTAGATAATTGGGCAAGCTGGTACGTGTGCACTAATACCATTTCGATGTTTCTTAGCCTCAATCCCTATTCAAATTACTAAATTGAGTGTCTTCAAAATAAGTAAATAAATACTTTTAACATTTTCACTTTATTTCAGAACGGAAAGGGCACATACACATAATTCTTGAGGTCCGTACAAGAGTGATTTTTTTTTCCAATTATGGAATGCAATAACATGCCTTGCGAGATTGTTAGGTCCTGAAATGCGAGAAACCTTTTTTTCTGTTTTATAGTCTCCTGAGATATAGTTTAATGGCGTTGCAGGCTGATAATGAATAAAAAATAAAGAAACGGGCCGGAATGTGGATCTAAGCCAGGATTCGGAGGGTCTGCAGCGCGAGCTTTAGCTCCATGGCCTCCGAGCTGTGTTTTGGTGAAAATCTCGGTCACCAATTCCTTGAGCCGCAGTCAGAATGCTAATATATCATACAAAGGACATACTTCAGACAATCTCGGAGAGGCACTTATTCTTTCATATAATGGCTCCGTCCCATTAATCTTAAATTAATACAGTCTGCAGATATGTTCAAAGCATACTGAAAGGTATGTTTGGGCTACTTGGTTGATGAACATCATTGGAGCGTACATAAGTATAAAGCCAACATTCTTCGAACATGCCCTAAGTATGTCCATATATAATTTTGCCGGTGTGTCTGTCAACAATATTCCTGTCTTTCGTAAGATATATGAGCAGTAAAACGCAGCTTAAAAACCGTCTTGTTCACCGATCATCCTGCAACACTTGTATGCAGTCAAAAAGCGACTCACGGGTAATGCACGGGAACCGGCACGTGGTAGGGGCAGTATTGGGTCTTGTGATAAGGAATGGGCAGTGGTATGGGAAGCAACCCTCGTCCACCTCCGAGGAGGGCGGCAGCGGCTGCAAGCTTAATCAGCTTGCCGGCCTGACTCTGATGCGCGCACAGTGACAACAGTAGGAGCACCAGCAGCAGCAACGGCAGCAATCTGGACAACCTTGGGTTGATCACCTTCATCCCTGCGGTCTTGAAAGTGTGACTCTCCTGGGTTCTGGGAATAGGAATTCATCCGTTGTAATTATTTACTGACCACAGGTCGGCATTTTCGTTTGAACTTACTCAACATCAGTTCAAAAAAATAAAAATAAATAATCTTTAAATTTACTTATTTAAAGACATGAGCGTGTTGGTGATCTACATTGACTTAAAACAAAAGAAACACACAAGAGGACGAAACAGACGACAAAGCTTTCGCTAGTCGTCTGTTTCGTTCGCTCGTGTGTTTCTTTCGTTTTAAGTTAAATTTACTAGTACACAAAATTTCAAGACGCACTCACCCCTATACCTTTAGGAAAGCAGTGACCTTAAATTCCTCAGTCAAGAACTCACCGAACTTACCCTCCTACAAACTGACAAACGCATTCCCTCGCCAAACTCATCAAGTCACCGAACTTGCCGAAAGCATGTTCTTCCAGGACCACACGGCATTAATTCAAATTCCAACTTATGGGTTTCCGAGACCTCTGAATTAACCTTAACGTCACATTCAAGGAAAAAAGTGAGGAAAGGAAGCACACCCATGAGATTTCTGTGGAGGTATACAGAAAGCTATGATGCTTGGAACGTATTAACAACCAGCGTTCTTTAATTTGGTTCCAAGATTTCCACCGGCTGACCGTCCACCTTTGTAATGCTGTGGTTGACCGCGATCTTGATTGCTCAACGACGGCAAAGCAAAGAGTGACAGCCTCGTGTACTTCCATAACTCTTCATACAGCCGGTAAGGTGATGAAAACTCAGGCAGCATACCTCGGCTAAAATCAATGATATGTTCCCTTGCTCACGTAAATCACCCTCACCTTCAGATTTGATGAGATGGTGAAAGAGTTCTCAAACCTCGGAAATCTCACGAACTCCCGGTCGATCATTGCGTTAGTGCGGTGAGGCGTGAGTCCGGAGAGTCGAGGACTTAAGTGATTTCTTTATAGTGAACAGAACAGCGCACAAAAAGACAAGGACAGAGAAACAAAACATGCACGGCACACGGACGCTGAGTTGCAGTGCCAGAGCGTGTCCCACACGAAACAACGCTATCTAACTAGCATGTCTTTGCCCTGCAGTCCGATCCAAAAACAAGGTTTCTGTCTGAATCAGTGCCACTGATGGGTGGCTAATGCAGCGATCCACCAAACTAGAAATGCAATGCGCTTTCAAAATTTTGGGAGTCGTCTTGTCCCGATAATGTCCAATTATTGTTATGCCTTTGAGGGTAAAAAAAACAAAGGTAGGTATCGCAATATACCGGAAGATCCCCGCCAACGGTAGATTTCAGTGAACGTTCATGCTCCAGAAAGATTTCATTCAGGCTGATATAGCCCTACCATATGTTTGTGTGGTAGGGCATTTTGGTCTACATATCTTCTACCAAAACGCCACTTGAACACGACACATAAAGGTGGTGTGGCGTTTTTCGTAGTTGTCTTTTTTTAAGGTTATGTGCTATCGAGCGAACTTTGCAACAAATTTGCGGCATTCTTTTGGGAGCTGAACACACAACAGGCACATCGCACTTTTGGGCAGCCCGTTTTAAATGATGCAATCTTTTGTATTGATATGTCTTTAAATTATACAATGATTTTCGTATATGTTTTGTGCCCTGTTCTGCTCGCTATGTCATCGCACAAACTCGCCCAGCTTGCCACACTTGTGCAGTGATTTCGTCACTTTGTAAATAATTGTATATCGGTTAGTGCGGAAGTGTAGTATGAGGGCGGGTGAGTGTTTCAGTTTGTTTCTAGCGGTTTGTTAAGATATAGGGTAAAAGATTTACTGTTTTTATTTTGATTGGGTTACAAGCCAGGGAGTTCAGCCGGAGAAATCGACCAAGCTGTCAACCAGTCAATGGCTGGGGCACCTTGAAGACCTGCGTGCGCTCGCCTTTTTAGCCGGCGCTTCAAGGGTCGACCGAAGGAACGAACACAACAGGCAACGTGGCGCGATTTATTGCCATTTCGCGAACCCCGCGACGCAGTGGCCGTATAGAGCAATAAACACACCCTTCGGAGACGCGTTTCGCCCGCCATACTCAGAACATTCAAACAACCCAGCCGTGATAATTTTACTTCTTTTGATTTATAGCCAGTGAGAATGGGCAAATAACGGCGCCATGTATGCTAATCCACTTCGAAGACCCGAATACAGAATAAAGGAATTCAAATACTTTCCCTTCGGCATGTGATTTTCATAGGATCTCTGTAATACATTTATGCATGTCAGATTTTTCCATTAACAATGACCCACGCGGGCCCAACAGTTAAGAAAACTCTTCCGACTGAAAGATTTTTTTTTCAGACTTAGACTGCCGGTCGAGGAGAGACCACTCGTGGCTCGTCCTCTTCCCTCTTTCTTTTAGCAGTCACATCTTGTGACGACATACCGTTAATAATTTGTTTTTGTAATAAATATGTACCGCACGATTCACCTCTTTATTACAACATGTATTTGCCAGTGCTCTCACTACCGAAACACCCGCAAGACTAGTGTGTTTATTAGCGAGGACTTCCTAGTGAACGCGTGCAATGCCAGGAGAGGACCGCTTGCATTGTTGAAAGGACAAAAGCCTAGAAGCTAAGATATAAGTTACGATATGTTAACTATGAAATATATTGGAACTGTTTGATTTCTGATCGCCATATCCAATGCGTAATTTAAAAAAAAATAGCAACCCAGAAAACAAACTTTTCATTAGCTACAAAAAACGTCCTGGGGATTATTTTGATTTTATTTTGTCCTATTCATAAATATAAGTAATCTGATTCTAAATGTGACAATTTCTATCTTTGATATACCAACATCAGCAGAATATGCTTATCTAGCCAAAACGTAACAAATACCAAAAGACTCGAAGTTATTTCCTTCGTGCATAAACTATATCAAACACAGGTGAAATTGTGCCAATAAAAAGGTTGTAGGGTACTCATTGCTGTATGGATGACGTTTGAGGCAGCACCGAAAATGTGTGCAGCGATCGGCCAACCTTTGGCTACTCTCTGGCGAGCTCTGCCACTGTCATGGCATTGGCTACAAGAGACCAAAAGATGACCGGAAAGCATCCGTCCGCAAGCATTTTGGTTTTTCTTTAGCCGCCAGCGCTCAGATAATGGCCGGTACTTCTCTGGACTCCAATGTGCACTTTTGACTCGGCTGCCAGAGGAAGAAATAGCTATGGCGTATATATGGACCCGACGCACTATTGGTGTTCGGTCACTGATGACCAAAGTATGATTGACACTTCCCAGGACACCGATGCACCATTTTTCCTTCGGTTCCATATGTCTAAATACATATGGCAAGTATCTGGCCCCTATTGAAATATTTGTGTTCGACCGGCCATGAACAATATATAGTCGGAGCTTATATGGCAACTGATGCCCTATTTTTGCTTGGCTACAGGTTTTTTAGATACTGATGTCAAGTATAGGGCACTTGACGAGCTCTTTGTGTTCGACCACCGGTGACCAAAGGAGATCTGGCGCTTGTCTGGACACCGATGCAACAATTCTTGCTTGGTTTCCAGATCTCTAAGCACCTATACGAATTGTCTCGCACCTATTTAACAATTTGTGGTCTGCCACCGATGACCTGTGTATGCTCGGCTACATTATGTCTAAATATCAATGGCACTTTTTGTGGCACCCTACGAAAGATGTCTGTTCGACTACCGTTGAATGAAGAACGATAGTCATTGTATGGACACCGACGCACGATTTTTGCTTCGCTACCGAAATGTTTAAATACCCATGGAAAGTAACTGGCTACCGTAAAATTATTTGTGTTCGGACGCGGATGACAAAAATATGGTTGCAGTTTCTCTGGCAACCGATGCGCTGCGTTTGCTCGGTTACCGGATATCTACATATCTATAGAATACACTGTCCCGCGACAGAAGTAGTTCGTCGGGGAACAAGTGGGAGCTGTAGGACCTCCTAGCAATGCAACGGAGCTTGGTCGTGTCCGCTGGGCCGCGACTCTTGTGATCAAGCGGCCTCAGCAGAGCGCATGTACTGTACATATAGGGTGTTTCACGAAAGGTTGACAAATTTGATATTGCGAAAACTGCGCGTCGCAACAAAAAAAGGCTTGTGTCGTTTTTGTCCTGGGCCAGGGGCCTATTTAGGAAAATTATTAAAGTCCCGGATAATTAAGTTCTTAATTCGTTTTGCGTAATTAACTTTTTAATATTCTGTTGAGGGGCACGGTTTAAATTATAAAATTGCTGAGCATCATCAAAAAACACCAAATCAACAAATTGCAGAACGATAGAAAGCACGCGAAGCATTTTACGGCTTTCTAAAAAACCGCACAATTTCGACGGGTTTTTAAGTTTCGGTTTCCTACCAAAGCGCATCTGGGCCCCGACGGCACCGCGCCCCGTGGAGAAATAGCGCAACTAACCTCTGCTGCGCTGGCATTGCGCGACGCAGCAGAGGTTGGCGCTGGCCACGCGCACTAACATGGCATAAAAAAAAACAAAAAAACATAGAATCCACAAAACTCCCGTCTTCGGAGTCTTATCACTCCATTCTCTAGGAGCCTGCTGGCATCTAGTTACACGTGCAACACGCGCTGGCGTCCACAGCCTTAAAAATGTTAGATAGCAAAAATTTATTTTGCTCTGAAACAGTTTATCTTATTTTCATTATTGACTTCTGATTACTTATACAGGTAAGAGGAGCGCGTGCAGTGAATGCACTTAATGTCTTTGAGAGAATCGTGTTTTTTTGGCCCGTGTTTTTAAATTACGCATCGCGGGAAGCTGAAACTCATTGAGAATGTGGTGCCAGCAGTTGGAATAGAGCGCAAAATTTTGAGAGCATGATGTCAACTGGATCGAAATTAAAAAAAAAAAAAGAGACAGACAATTTCTTTCTGAACAATGTCCACCTAAGCCTAATATTGTAAAAACAAGAACTTATGTTGTGGACACCTTTAGAATTTATTTCGGTTAAACAAAAACC